GTCCTTGACACACATGCACAGTAGTGGTAACTGGGGTAGGCCGTGGACGTCACAAGACATTATACAGACAGGCTCTGGTATCATGGCTACCCGGCAATGGAGCTCAAAAATGTGGGATCATTTTAAGAAAATGAAAGAGAAACCTGTGAAATATCTGCAGAGCAGAACTTACCTTCCACAGCAATTATTTTTAGTTAGCATATAGCTAAAATCTAACAATGGTTATATAATAGCAGCTGCATTCTGGCGTGATGAGCTGTATGATTTCTATTCAATTAACATGTGATGCGATTTAGTCGACTAATCGAATAAATAATAGGTGATTAATCGATTATTAAAATGATAGTTTGTGGCAGCCCTAATCACAACGCCTGCAGCTGGAAACTGCCTCTGATGGAAAGAAGGCTTCAGATAAATGCGCTGGTCTGGTTCTGTATTTCAGCAGAAGTTCTGGCTCAAATGTCACGTCTTGTATTTTATCTTTTCAAAATTAACAGTGGCAGAAATGGACGAAGACAGGAGTTAGTCAAAAATTTATTTCATTTATCAACAAAATAATTAAAATAACGGTGTCCTTACAATACCGTAAGTGTGAAAAATGAAGGTTTATACACTTTATTTTTCCTTTGCCTACTAAGTATTTTTTAATAAACTATTACTGTTTGAGTTTCTGAACACTAAACAGCATGGGTAAAGAGGTTGGTCAAATTTTTAAATATGAACTATACCATGGGTGTAGGGTTTGGTAATATTGACAAAAACTCTCACGATTAATAGCTGTTGAGCTGATGTGGCCCCTGTCTACATTTTCTGGCTTTCCTTGTACTCTGGTTTGTGGTGGTGTTTCAGGTGATTAAACAAGTTTGCAATGTTAGCGTTACCTGCTTCATGACATGCTTCACTATAGTGTGAACGTCGTACACAAAAACGCATCACAGCACTAATCCCAGTGATTGCAAAGTAGCAAATATTGTCTGACTGAAGAAGTCTTTGAGGAGAGACAAAGTTTCATTATAGAACTCATCCAGAGGACTTATTTTTTTATATGTATTTTTTTTTCTACCTGGATTACTGAGGCACATCAAGACATTTAATTGTTGGTTTTCCTGACCATTAATTGCACGCAATATGATTTTGCCCAATTCTAATGGGTGCCATTGTTATATTAGTTTTATTGCAAATTAAAAATGTAACCATGTTTTTATACAGTCTAGACCAATGGTTCCAAACCTATTTTCCTCTAAGCCCCCCTTTCTTATTCCCAAGCCATCCTGAGCCCCCCCCCAAAAAAAAATCCCTTGATACTCCAGACCTCACCCAAAGACTCGGTCAACATTTTTATTTGTCAAAAATAATGAAAGAATGAAGGGAATAAGACTTTATTATTTTGAAAAGGAATCAAGAATGGAGTTTGACAGTTTTAATTATTCAAATACTTTTATTTTTTCCCCCCAATACAAATAATTGACTTTTTCACAACCTCTGAACAAAGCAGGGCAGTCGCCCCCAGGTCAGGAACCACTGGTTTAGAGCTTTTCAAGTACAACTTTTATTACTTCTAAACCAGAATAGTTTGACCCAATTATAAAACCCCCACATTTCAGGTTTTCCCACTCGTACAGCCCCAGTTTGACACAACTTTGTTGTCTTCAGGTTGATCTCAGGTTTCCACAGAGCGGAGCTGCCGACCCAAACCAGGTGACGGTCATCGGTCGCCCTGAGCACGTGGATGAAGCCATCGATCATCTCCTTAACCTGGAAGAGGAATACGTAAGCTGCCTCGTGAACGTCCTTCCTTTAGCAGATCCGTATCGAGTGTTTTCCTGTTTGTCACTGACGTGCCCCGATTTCTGTCAGATGGTGGATGTTGCTGAGAACGAGGCGAAGCAGGCGTACATGAGGCCACCTAGCGGTAGCGCCGCAGCCATGGATGACCACCGGGGCCCATCCAAAGGGTTTGTGGTGAGGGAGGCTCCCTGGACCACCGGCAACGAGAAAGTGAGTGTAGACAGAGTTGACGCTGTAAGTAAACATAATAAGATGCAGAGCGAGAGTTTAAAGAGCTGCAATTTTTTTGTTTTTTAGGCTCCTGACATGAGCAGCTCTGAAGACTTCCCCAGCTTCGGAGCTCCAGTCCAAGCTAAGGCTTCCCCCTGGGGACCCAAGCGCTTCTAAGCCATGCTGCTACAGATCGGCCCTAACTTAAACCCGTATCGATCCTCCCTGTCGTCATCATGCCCCGCCTCCCCATCCCCCCCAACACAAAGCTCTCTTTCCACCTCCTGACCTGGACTGATCGCTGACCCTCAGAATGTCCTCCAGTCTTGTCTCCAGACTCAAACTGAGTGATATTTAACCCTACATAAGATCACGACCTTGTGTTTAAACGTGTCAGGTGTTCCAGTTTTACATGTTTAGCTCAGATGCCCTCGTCGTGGTTGTTGTTTTGTTTTTTGTTTTTTTGAACTGTTAAAACCAAATTCCGGTGGTCAGACGTCAGTATTTTCGAGCTGCCCTGATCTTAGTTGCCTTTTTGCAGGAAGTGGGGGGGTTAAAGGGACTCTATTACTGCTGTTTCAGTACCAGCCCCCCCACCTCTCCACCCCCTCTCCTGCTTTATCCATGTAGCCGAGTGACACATGTCCAAACCCTGGGCCCCCCTAAGCACACTGTGGTTGTCCTGTCCTGTTCTTCTAACCGTGCTTCTGTGAATCATGATCAAATCCTGGCACTTACCTTGTAGCCTTATGAATCTGTAAACTAGGGAGGGGTGTGTGTGGGAGGGGGGGTTAGCTTGCTGCAGAATGACACCCACTCAAACTGCCAGATGTTTGGAGATCATGCCATACTTAAACTTTGTACAACACTAGGCTAGAGCTCCAGTGCATCACCTCACACTAATTGTTGAATGGACCTTTTTTTTAATTTTATTTGTTAAATCAAATCACTCTACAGGGGAAAAAGACCTTTCTGTGCCAACTATGTGTAGTGTTGTCCTGTTCTTCGCCCTCTGCAGTGGGTCAGTGTCCAGTCCTTTTGTCTTCCACTTGCTATGCAGATTGATCTGTCCAATAGCAATGGTCCCTTTTTTTTGTTTTTTAAGTCAGCCTTAAAACTAGAAGGATGCAAACCAGGCAGAAATGACGTTGAGGTGCTCTTTAAGGAACGTTGTTCCTTCAGTTTTAAAAGCTTCTCGAACATTTCTTCTGCACGTGTTGCAGCTTTCGTTGTTGCTTGGGAGTGCACGATTAGCATGCTAGCTACGAAGTCATCACCCAGCGTCTGCCTGCCTTGGTTTATATCCTCCTGGTGTTTTGAATGAAAAGGTTTATGCAACTACCAACGGTTCTGGACAACACTAGGAAAAAAAAAAACAATTGTCCAAATAAAATCCTAAAAAAAACTGAAACTGTTTTATTGTCTGAGTTTCTTTCTTTTTGAAAGTAGATATTTTCTCAGTTAAATGTTAAAATTTGATCCAGGAGCTGTAACTGAATTAAAGTAATACATGATGTAAACTTTATTTAGCACTTCTTTCAGTCAAGTAGCCACAAAATGCTTCACTGCAAAACAATATGAGACTAGACATACTGTAGGTTTTTACGATATAAAAACAAGTGTGCATTGCCTTGTAGCATGCCTTTGCCTGCAGCTTGAACTGTGACAAAGTTGAAATGTTTGCTAATCAAGAACCAGCTTGTGCCTGCTGAGTCAGCAGTTGTTTGTAATGAGGGTAATTGTGTGAGAATATGACAATTAGAAAATATGTAATTTTAATGAAATATTTATTTCATTAAAAGATTGAACTCTGATCTCATGCATGAAAGCCCATAGTGTTAACCATGAGACTATAGGAGCTGTTGCAGTAGGTACTCCCAGTGTTAGATTTGTATGTGTGCTGAAAGAGGCCATATTGCCAATGCAATTGTTGACACTAAACTGCAATATATTACAATAAAGGAATATTAGGACAATATTATAGTGAAATATCAAAATACAATCATGTTTGTACTGTAAACACTGAACTACTGAGTTTAAATATTATTAAGCTATGGTGCAGTACTGAGTAGATACAGCATGGGGCAGTATTAGACCAATACAAGGCTCCATTCACTCCCATTAATTGATTTTAAACATTAATATTTCAAAAACTAAGTTGTACAGGCACCAAAAGGCATAGCAATCATTTGGCACAGGAGCTTTGCAGATATAAATTAAAATGGCATCTCTAGGACAAAGTGTGCAGGAGGAGAAGCGCGCCAAAGTGGAGATGACAGATGGGAAACGAATCACAGTAGTGTGCATTGCATTGGCAGGGCAATGCACACTGACAAAAGCATTAAATCACATTGATAAAACAAAAACTGAGGTGTCCCATGGCTCAGAGACCCTATAATTTGAATTCTTAACCCTTCTTCAAGTTTACATTGTGCCCATGAGGCTAGGAACCTTTTTGGTGGTTCTAGATTCAGATCTTAGCTTTGCAAAAACATTTTAATGGTATTAAAACTGGCTTTTATCAAATCGGGAATACTGCCAAAATAAGAACAATGATTTCTTTTGCGGATGCTTAAACCCTCATTCACACTTTTTTTCTCTCTTGTCCTCTTGATTACTGTAATTCTCTATTTGCTGGTTTGCCTAAAAAATATATTCCTTAAACACTTCCAATAAGTACAAAATACAGCAGTCCTCAGTAGATCCCAGAAATATATCACTCCAGTTCTTGCTTCTTTACACTGGTTTTTAGGATTGATTTTAAGATTATATTGTTAGTTTTTAAATCTTTGAATGGACCTGCACCATCATATATCACTGAGTTACTCCTTACACGCCCTTGTGACATCTGAGATCATCTGATCAGTCACTACTTTTGGAGCCCAGAGCAAGATAACAGTAAAAAATAGAAGATTACAGAGGGTTACTGAGCCCTTTTTTGTCAGGGCTCCTCTTTTTTAATTATTTTTATTTATTTTTTATTATTTATTTATTTGTTTTTTGGAATGCACTGCCACTTAACATCAGACAACCATCTTCATTGTCCTCTTTAAAAACAGATAAATTGGCTTTTAATTGTTGATTTTTTGCATGTTTATTAATATATTATTTTTTATTTGTGCTATGTATTTTATGTGTTTTGATTTTGTGATGTAAAGCACTTTGTAACTGTTTTGAAAGGTGCTATACAATTTTTTTATTATAAACCATGAAGCATTAATAAGACATAACGCACACAGACATGTTAAAAGCCAGCTTAAAAAAAGTTAGTGATTAATGTAATGTATTACAAACTTTAGGAGCTAAAACCATGCTGTCCCCACTGGACCAAGTAAAAAGTAGCAAGTTGGACACTTATTTGGTATTAATATGTTTTCATACTATTTTTTAGATGTAAATTTGTATAAACAAATTTAAAAAATAGAGAAATTTGTGATGCAGTTACACTTTATGAGCAGAGGGTGGCAGTGATTGAAATTAATCCTATGAAGTAAGTGTGTTTCTACAATGGGTGTGTTTGTGTGTGTGTGTGTGTGTGTGTGTGTGCATGCATTTGTATAGCAAGAGTCCCCAATAAATTAGTTCAGTGGCTTTTTTTTTAAATTTTATTTTATTTTCATCAGACTCTGAGGGTCAGTCCTTGTTATGAAACAAGCTAAGGTATAAAAATGTAACCCTAAGCCTGTTTATTGTTATTTTATGCTATATTTAATATTCATTAGACATTTTACTGAGAAATGCTAATCTGTAATTCTAAAGACATAACTTAAACATTTTTTATATTCAGTTTACTTTGCATTTCCATGCATCTTAGCATTTACTTATTCAGAAAAAAAGCCTGTTAACAAAATTCAAGTTAGTAGGTACTACTCCACAGGGACCAGGTTTTGACCACACTCCTACTTCATGTGTGTGAGGTTCAGAATTCCAGGGATTACTTCACTTTCTAAGAAGAAGATGTCATTAATCTGGTGTTAAATGATAGATAATGAATTTATCTCTTACATGTGCTTTTGTTGCTTATTTATGCAACAGATCATGTTACCAGCCAGTGGTTAAAAGTAACCCATAAGCCATCAATACATTTACAGCACCATTCTGCAGTACTGGTCACCAGATACCCAGCTGGTATACAAATCTGGCCAGTAGTGTGCAGAGGATTTCACCCTGAGACTGGACACTAAAACAAAAGAGAGAGGCAGAGAACCAATAAGCATTAGAAAGACTTTAAACAATGAAATCATCAAGATTATGGAGAACATCAGGAGGAACTAATGAGAGAATTTCTCTGGCAGCAAAAACCCAATAAGGAAGAAGATGAACCATCATGTAAAGATAAATACCTGCATGGTATGTACCACCAGCAGATTGAGGAAGAGGCTTTAACTGAACTGACTCAAAGAAACCATGTGTTGAATTTCACAGAGGTCAAGTGGTTCCACTCAACCAAGCTGAGTAAATGTAAAGAGATTTACTTGTATTATTTGTGTAAATAATTTGGGCAAGTAAATTCAACAAACTATTTTTTTTAGCATGAAGGACAGCACAGAGGCACTAATCATGGCAGCATAAGAGCAATAGAGTATGGGGTGCCGTTTGTAAAGTTACACAGTCAAAAATGACCAGCAATATTTGGTTTTATTTAGCTTTTTATACGGAAAAAAAGAAACTGGATTATTTTTCAAAGTCAGTTTTTCACCAAGTTATTCATGCATTTATAAATGTTACAGTTTACAAACTAAATATTTAACTTACAAATTAAACAATTAGTTAACAAGCTAAACATTTAGCTAAAAACTAAATATTTAACTTGCAACTTAAACATTTAGNCAAGCTAAACATTTAGCTAAAAACTAAATATTTAACTTGCAACTTAAACATTTAGTTAGCAAGCTATACATTTAACTTTAATATTTAGTTAAAAAGCTAAATAACTTGCAACTTAAATAATTTGTTACAAAGCGAAATATTTAACTTGTAACTTAAATATTTAGTTTAAAACTAATTAACTTGGATCTTAAATACTTTGTTAAAAAACTAAATATTTAACTTGCAACTTAAATATTTAGTTTGGAGTTAAATATTTAGCTTTTTAACTAAATATTGAAGTTGCAAGTTAAATATTTATTTTTAAACTATGACATTTATAAATCTATAGCCTTTTGCGTCCAGTTTTGACGCGTCGGGTACCCCTTGTGCGTCAGTTTTTTACGAGATGAGTTGGAGGAGGACAAGCCATCGTCATATTTTTTTTACAAGAGTAGGAAATGCGCGAAACTAACCTTCCCAGACCCAGAATTTAACTTCTGTTAGCCCCAAACAGCCTATCCCTGAACCCAGTACCTAAAATTAACCATTAATCCTGATATCAACCATTTTTGAAAATATAGAGAATGTGTGAGAACTAACCATCCCAGACCCTAAATTTAACCTATATTAGCCACATACAGCCTATCCCTGACCCCAGTACCTAAAATTAACCATTAATCCTGATCCCTCATATTAACCTCAGACCCCAACCCAAAGACCCCTAAGTGTTGCACACCGGAAAAGGGGTGGGCTGCAAGGATGGATGTGCAGGGGGGGGTACCCAACGCGTCAAAACTGGATGCAGACGGTCCCTGACCAAGCGTCAATATGTTGACGAGTCAGGAGTGAGAACGTGTTAGAATAACATAATGAAAATCTGACTTTTTAAAATAAACCCCTATGTTTTTCCTTATGAAAGGCTAAATAAAGCGAAATAATTCTGGTATATTTTGACTGTGTAACTTTACAAACGGCACCCCGTAGTTTAGGGTAAGGGGTAAGGATAAAGAAAGGACTGGAAAATGAATGGAGGTCAATGCAAAGACCCCATAAGGATAGGAAAACCAACATACGTTTTTGTTACCTGAATGATTTTTGACCATTTTCCAGGTACACACAGCCAGGTGAGGACCCACTGTTCTGGGGACAAAAGCCCGGTCCCCAATGGGGGGGCGATACGGGAGGCGACGTCGCTCGCTCTCCATTCATTTCCTATGGAGCCTGTGCGGTGAGGCGACAATCGCTTGTCC